CATTCAAAGAGGATATGGTTTACGGTTTCAAAGGGGTGGGCGCAGTGTCTGCAAAGGGGTAGTTGTGTGGAGTTCATTTTGTTCAGGTGGTAATTTAATAGTGGTGTGTGTCCTGTTCTTAGTTGGAAGATTGTAGATTGTTCTTTGCGGGGGAGGAAGTTAATACTGTCCAGTTTGTTAGGCGTAGTCAATTCTCTGTACATGGCCCTGCCTGTGTTTCCTGATGCCCATTGGTTGAGCCACCCCTCTTTGTGATTGTTGACTAACATTGACCTTAGGGTGAGGTAGTTAACAGGTCTATCTGGTTGTTCCATAGATGAACCTGCCTTTGATAGCTTATCTGCCTTTTCATTTCCCATGATGCCAATGTGTCCAGGGATCCACTGTAGTGTGATATTGATACTTAATTTTGATATCATCTGGTGGATTATCACAATGAGTGTTGTCAACTCTCTTGGGCTGTTTGAGGTGCTGATGGTAAGTGCTTGCAGAGTAGATTGGGAGTCTGTAAAGACAACAATATCTGATGGTGGTTGCACTCTTTCATATAATTTGTTTTCCACTGTCTGAAGTGCTATGGTTATTGCCTCAATTTCGGCTTGAAAGTTTGAGCATTACCGCCACAGGGTGCGCTTATCTCAAAGTGTTTATTTTTAGGGAAGACCAGGAAGGCACCAAGACCAGCATTGATGGTAGCTTTGAAAGCCGATCCGTCTGTATAAATATGGATAGCTGTTTTTTGACAGCTTTCGATTGTTTCAAGCGTGCCTACTTTGAGCTCCAGTGGATTTGATTCTTTTGTTAAGGTGTTATTTAGTAAACGTGTTTTGATGGTTGGTTGTTTGTAGTTTAGTCCGGGTGTAATGTTTGAAAACCTGGTAATTTTTTCTCTGTTATTCGGTAGGTGGTGTTTTAGGGCTAGTTCGTCAGTCAGTTGGATCAGAGTCCTTTGCTTTTTTTTTGTTGTTTTTTTCCTATTTCTCTGTGTTAGTAATTTATTTGGATGATCGTCCTCCAACCTTCTGTATCTCTCAATAGCTTATAATGCTGCTCTGTTGCGCCTTAACTTAAGAGGTTCAATATTGGAGTCCATTTCACAGGCTGCTGTGGGAGTAGTTCTCATACCTCCACTAATTAGCCGCAAGGCTTGGTTTTGGATTGTATCTAATGATGATTGATAGGTTTTGTTGGCAGCTACTTGTATGGAGAGACAGTTATCCATTACAGATCTGACATATCCAGTGTATAACTGTCTTAAGGTTTTCTTTTCAGCTCCCCAGGATGTTCCTGCTAGGTGTTTTATTATGTTTAATCTTTGTGATGCCTTTTCTTTTAAATCTGCCATAAAGTGTTTTAGAGACAGTCTTTCTTTTACCAATTTATCTAATTCAGGTGTCCAAAAAGGTTTGTATTTCTTAACTTGGCCTCGAGGGATGTGTTTTTTTTGCTGCTTGTAAGATGTTGGAGACTTGTGTAGGTTGAATTGATGTCTGTCTTAATTATGCTTGATAGTCTTGTGTCTGTTTCTTGTGAAAAGCTGCCCAGTTAGCTTTTTTATAGTTCCATCTAGTTGTTTTGCTGGATTGGTACCTACCTGGCGTTCCAATATTGAGGAGTATATGCCTGTGGTCACTACCTATGTCTTCAAGTACTGTTATTTTAGAAGAGTCGGTAAAGTCTGTAGAGATAAAAGTTAGGTCAGGTCTGCTAGTTGTGTTGTGTGCTCTGTGGAGGAAAGTTGGAGGGGAAGTTTTGTTTTGCAGAAGTTGTAGGTTAGAGGCATTTGTTACATCCTCTATTTCTTTGCCACGCTTGTTGTAGTGTGGGTAGCCTAGGGAAGGTGTATATGCATTGAAGTCGCCAGCTATTATTGTCCTTGTGTAGTGTGGTAGTTGTATGTCTATTTCTGCTGTTGATGATGGTGGGCTATAGTAGTTTTTGATGGTGTACTTTGTTCCTCCTCTCCAAAGAAGTATTTCCTGCGTGTCGATGTCTGTATTGTTCTGTATTTGTTTTACTGTGGCTTGTGTGTCGTTTCTTATGAGGGTCATAATTCCCTGGCATTTGGTGCAAAGGCATCTGTACTGTGTGTAGCCTGTGATGTTTATTTTTTTCTTGGGCAGTAGTGTTTCTTGCAATAGCGCTATGTGTATATCATGCTTCTTGAGTATATGTTGGAGTTCTGTTGTCTTGTTTTGTAGGCCTAAGATGTTGAGTTGCAAAAGGTTTAGGTGTTTGCTGCTAGTCTGTTTTTTTATTTCCAGTAGCTGACTTATCACAGGCAGTCCTGGAAGAAACTGCCATGCGCAGACCTTTTACGAGGCGACGTCTGAGCTCGTATGGATTTTTCGTTAAATTCCTTGGCATTTAGTGTAGGCTGGGTGTTTCCTCAGGCTTTTAAAAAATATATAAATATATAGTCCCCGCATTTTAAGGGAGTTTTCGGTCTTGGCAATTTTCACAAATACTGACAGAAAAGGAAACATCTAGGTCTGAAGACTGTAACCGGAATATCCATGGGACAAGGTGCGTTTGGCCAATGGTCCATTCTCCGCCATGCATATGGAACTTTACTGCAGTAGAAAGCTTAAAGTGGACTGTGCCCTGGGTATGCCCTGTGGAATCGTCACATCCTGGATCCAGGCCCCTTCACGATATCACATTCACCAGATCCAGAAAAAAAAAAATGTAGTGAGACAAGGACCTCCGTCTGGTGTAGTGCAATCCAGACCTCCGTCAAAAAGCACCTAGAGGGGGGGAAGATCCACTATTATTCACTTAGTGAAATGCAAGTGGAAAGGCAGTGGGGTTATTTATTTCTCTTGGTCATTTCCAAGCCCCGATACCCACACGGGGGAGTATCGCCACAGAGTGGAGGTTTGGAGTCAAGAGTTTTCCTTCTCCTAGATGGGGTTGCGTTATGTAGGCTGACGTGCCCCATCAAAACGAAGCTAAACTGGTTTTGAGGCGCCAGCGTTCCGCCTTTCATCTCTCTCCTGTCAGTTTGTAAGAACAGGTTCCGCCGGATTTTTGAGAAAATCACACGTGAAGACCAGGAGCTGGATTTGACTGTCAGAGGCATTTAGAGACGCAAGCCATGGGAGCATTTCTTGGAAAGTGGGTGCTTATCCCCACTTTCACCCCCGGCATTGACAGTCCTTTGGAACCCGTACTGACAATACAATACTTTTCGTTATGTGTGTTTAATGGGATTCTCAGATCTGTGGTTTAGAGTAGTTGACTCTAACATCTATTAAATTGGAATTTAAATTTTCTCTTCAAATGACTTGCCTATCACACCTTGTAGACTGAAACATTTCAACAGACATCTAGATGTTCCCTATTAGTTAAACAAATCAACTACAACACAACACACTGAATTTGTTGTAATCCAAATTTTATTAAAGGTTCTCTTTATTCCTAAATGATTTGGTGCTAAAATTCTAAGCGTGATGCACATAATTACAAGATTTTTAAAACTTAATTTTTACTGTGGGAAGACATGTTAAAATTATACATGATCTGACAAAAAAAAAAAGGCACTTAAAAAATGTACTGACCAATACAGTACAAACAATTTGGCATAGGAATAAAAAAAATAATAATTTACATGTAAATAGCTTTCTTGTATTGATTGAATTAACTGTGTTAGCATTTAATACACAAAAGAGCCAAAGTTAGTGACCAAAGCTATTTGTATAATTTCAGTGTGCTTGGTTTATAAATTTTAATAGTATCCAACTAATTTGCTATTCTTTCAAGGAAGAAAATAGGTTGTTACGGTCAAGATCATAAATAATGATTTAGATGATGTTAAGGGCTTATTACATGTTCCAACTAGTAATCTCATTACCGCCACCTTATACCAACAAAAAAATAAATAAAAACAGGCCTTTTAGATTAGTAATTTTGTGATTATTTTAATTTCACAAATCAACAAGTTATGTACATCATATAGTGAAATGATTAAAAAAAACAACAACTCCAAGATGATGCATTATAATGAATATAATCAAACATCTTCATTAACATGAAATTAGAAGACAAAAAAATAAATTATTATTATAGAACAATCACATTATATAGGGACTTGTAAAGTTATATATATATATATTCATTGAAAATAATGATATTTTAATGACATTAATAATTGACAATGATTGTAGTAAAATTACAATATTAGATGTTTCTATTAAACTAATGTGTAGATAAAATGAAAAGATAATTTACATCAAGTCAGGTACTAAGTAGGTTTCTAGAGATTTTCATCTATGGTGGAAAAACTAGAAATAAATGATAATTTTTGTGCACTGCAGAATAAAATTTTCTACGTTCTAACAAATTTTAGCTCAATTATTTTTTTAGTTGGCAACACTGAAATTCAAGTTAGCATCCTTGACATTGCGTGAAAATCTTTCAATGTTTCTGTACAATAAATCACAATCTTTTGCTGATCTAATGTCAAATTTCAATCATTTTGTTTTTGTTGCACTTTAATGCATTTAATCAAAATAATATATGCAATGTGTTTCTGTGGAAAAATTGTTCAGCAATCATTAGTCTTCTGAAGTATTGGTTGCAAATATTTTTCTATTTTATAACAAGTTTGTTGAGAAGGGCATAGACCTACTTTAAAGTAAATAAGAAAACTTCCCACTTGGACTTCAAGAAGCGCTTCAATACACATTATTACATAAGACTAGAGATGCTAATTTAAAAAAATGAACAAGAAATAAAAACTATGTAAGATGACAATAACATGACATCATGAAAACTGTACAGAATTATTTAGGGCAAGATAGCTTGCTGGGAATAGAATCAAACCTACAAGTGAACGGCATTTATTATCTCAGAACAAAATAATGCACATGATAAAATAACTTGTAATATTTCTTATTTTGCTAACAGTTTAAAAATATAAAGCTAAAAAAACCCCCCAAAAAAGTAATAATAATAACCAGAAATTTCTCACCTCAAGAAAACAATTTAAAAATATTAAGCAAAAAAAAAAAAAAAAAAATAATCAGAAAGAAAACAAAAGTCATAGAGTTACGGTTATTGTGCCACAGCATTATTTTGTAAAAATCTCAAGTACACATTTGCTGTATTTATGTGTCTTGCATAACTGTCCCAAACAATAAAAATATACACCACTGAGCCTAATAATGTACAAACAGAATAATTCAGCTATACACTTCTAGAACACTTGAGCCTAATCAATAAACAAACAGTATAATTCAGCTATACACTTCTAGAAACTCAAACCTTTCTATATGGATTTAGTTTTTTCCAAAAACTAAGAAAAGGTTAAAAAACATAATACTTCTTAGTAATTACAATAATGTCCTTAGTTAATATAAACAATGTTTCTATGTCCTTCACCATTGAGGTCAGTGAATAATTGACAGATGATTCATTCGGATCAATCACAAAAAGAGAAAATTCATTTCTTGAACCAGGTCTAAAACATCACAATTTCAACACTTTCAACTTTTTTGAGATTTCAGGAAGTCTTCATACTTCTTTTCCTGAGCAGCGTAAAGTTTTTGTAATTTTTTCATGGCACTTTTGGGAATTTCAACACCAGATGCATCATGTGTAGGAATACCCTAAAAGGAAAACAAAGATTTTAATGATCTATGCATAAAACAAAACAATTTTTTCTCAATAATTTAGGTATAAAGCTAAACCAACCAAAATATCTTTCAATGACCTTTGAACAGAAACACAAATATTTTTTATGTACCATACTGAAATTTAACAAGAATTTTTTGTAATGGTATGTATAAAACATACAAATCCATGAGTAAATCTAGTAATGCATGTTAATATAGTGACAAACTCTGCTAGGTCATTGGTTTTCCTGGCTCATTCAGACAATCCCTTCCATGCTCTAAAGGCACTAGAGAGGAAGGAGTGCTTATATGAATATATTCTAGCACATGCAATAAGAAATGTTCTTTCATCTTTGTGTGTGTGTTTATATGTCTGTGGTCTGTGGCATTTTACATCTCGAGAGATGATCTTTTCCCTTTGCAACTTCTTGTGTGACTAAAGAGGCCAATCCTTGATACACAGCTGCGATCGCAGGTTGGGCATATATAATCACCAGGCGCCGTTGCATTTTCACCCTTCTTTCTGCTTCTGTTGTGTATGACATCTGCAATCTTTGACCCTTCCTTTATGCTCTCTCTCCATGAGGATCTGTCCAGTGCCACCTCTTCCCAGTTGCCAGTGTCCATTTTGAAGAGCTTCATGTCGCGTTTGCATACATCCATCTAACGCAAAAGTGGGCGACCAGCGGCTCTCCTGCCTTCTATTAGATCGCCATACAGGATGTCCTGTGGAAGTCGACCTTCTGGCATTGTACGAACGATATGTATATATCAGAGTATTTAATTAGGTTGTCTTTTTGTATTTAAGTTCAGAGTTTTATGGCTACTGTCCTGAAAAGTATCTAAATTTAGTGATTTTTACTAATAGTGTAAATCTAGTCAAATGTGAATATTCAATCCTTATAAATCTAAGGGTGCATTTGGAAAAATACTAATGATGACAACAATAGAAGATTAGGTCATGTATGTATGCTCCACACTTAGCTTTCTAGAGTAATAAGAGAAGATTGTGTATAAATGGGAAAGACTCAAAAGGAAATTGCTAAATATTTCTTTTTAAATATAGATTTCCGTTATATTGAATATTTGAATGTATTTTTCAGCGTGATTTAAAAAAAACAAAATTGGATGTATGTGTATTGGTTTATGTTTAAAATGCAAAAGATATTTTTCTTTACAGGTTCAGAGTCACACCTAATAAAATTTTTAAATTTAAATATGTTATAAACTCGAATAATTAATGATTTCTAACCTTCTCATCAAATTTAGAATATTTATCAGTTTCACTCTTAAACATCTCTGATGGTGGAATCCTTCTCTGGGCTTCTTTCTGAGCATCTTTTTCAGCCTTGGATAGGACACAAATTTTTTTTTTTTAGATACATTTATGCTTGTTGAATAAGTTAAAGCATAGAGTTTACAACAAATACCAAAAGGAGATTAGTGTTACAAGTCACATCTGGTATTTGACAAGAATACCCTCTGAAGGATGTTTAAAAAAAATTGTAAATTAACCTATTAACCATGATAAGTCAATAGTCATTCAAACTATGCTAGACTCTTATTTACAGCAAAGGCATGCTTCTGAAATAATGACTCAGTCTCAACAAAGTGTCCTCAGTTTTAAAACTTTATAAACCATTCATATCATTAGTTGACCAAAACAATTGAATGTAGTACCAGTACCTGTTCTGCTTTCTTTTTCTCTTTCTCTAATCTTTTCTTTTCTTCTAGCTGCAATGTACAAAGTTACAAGATAATTGACACATTTTCAAACTGGGCCTATTGAAGTTCAAAATCTGAGTCCATGCTAACTGGTATAAGACAAAAAGCGAGTTTGAGGGGAGGGGGGGGGGGGGGGGGGGACTGTGCACAAAGTCTAGGATTGAAGAAATTGTTTAATACAAATAGAGGAAGAAAACATATTTTGTATTTAGAGTCAATGCACAAACACCACATTATATTTTATACATAACATCTAGGAATTTTAGAGTTGTGTAGAACACAAAGGCTGATTAGTGTAATTAGTAGCATAATTTACAATATTAACACTGAAACTATCATAAAATAATTATAAATAAAAATAATAATAAAGAAAATGAATTTATATTTAGCAGTAAATGGTGAAGTACTGTATCACATTGTACAATACTAATAGCACTTTTTCATCACAAAATTTCAGGATTTTTTAAATAAAGGTAATTTTGTATTCAAAACAATATTTTTTTGTTATGTTAGGATTACATTTTTTACATTCCATATTTCATAATTTGTACTTATTTGACCATGCCCAGGAAACAAATAAAAAGGGCACAGCACTGCAGACATTACCTTTAATTTCTCTGCTCTCTCTTTAAGTAACTCTTCCTTGTCTACCAACTTGATCACAGTAGCAGATCCTTCATGATCTTCCAGTCTAACACCCAGGTTTGGCAGGACCTCATCTCTCACTTTATCACATTCTGAGAGAATATCTTTCTCTGAAATAAAGTGAGAAGACGTTTTTTTTTATATACAGTTTTAAGTTTATATAGAAAACAAAAATTCAATGAGTCGTTTTAAAAACAAAATAGTCACACAGACACATTTCTGGGAAACTGAAAGTACACACACACCCGCATATTTCTGGCAACTTTAGTCTAATATGATTTAAGAGTAGTAAACTTCGGGTAGGAGGGGAGCATTAGCTTTGGTTACACACCTAAGAGAAGGTAACCTCTGAATTTAAACCTCAACTCCCTTGGGGGATATACCCAAACATGGGGAAGCCTTAAGGAGACAACTCTGAAGAAAAATCAGGAGCTGGTAATCATCAGGTAGTTTGCAGTACACAGAGCTCTAACCTGGCAGTAACTGCGACTGTTCCCAAACTGTAATGGATATTTGCCGTTCCTTTGGACACATCAGCTGCATGGAGAGGGGAGAACTGCTGTGTGGGCAACATCATTTCCACCATAAATGTTTTCTACAAGATGAACCACAGTCAATCTAAAACTGAAGGAGGCCAACTAACACCTCTAATACTAGCATTACTTGTTAACCTAGAACTCTGTTCAAGAAAGATAAGTCTCTGAAATGGAAATAAAAACCTGTTTCAAAGCAGGCCACATTTTCCTGCTAGAGTTATAAGCTCTTACAGCTTACTTCTGATTCAACTTTTCACAATCTGTGCCAAGGAAAAGTAGCATGCTTTTTTTGTCATCTGTTCTACACTGCCATACAGAGTGTTGCTTACGCTGGGTTGTTGTGGTAAGAGTCTAGGGTAAATAAAAAATGGAGCATTCAAAGCGTATGACTGACACTTTTGTAATGGTGGCGCAGTGTCTGCCAAGGGGTTGAGGTGTCATATTAATTCTGTTGAAGGCAACCCAAGTTCTTCTTACTTTTTTTACTGACAGTCACACAACTCAAACACAATAGTACCAGTAACCCCCCCCCCCCCCCAAAAAGAGTAATATATTGGTGTTTCATATACAGATAAAAACAATAGCATAACCTACGTTTCGTTTCCCTGGCAAGTGACCTAATATTGTCTCGGAAGCTGGCAAAAGCTAATAAGAAAGGCATGACTGTTTCTTCTACCTGGTAGTTCAGAAAACAAAAGGAGAAACAATTTTATAATTTTGTCAGTTGTATTTTGAAAACTGTTGATGTGATAATAGATTCAAGAACTCACATTTGTATTCTGAGCTCCTCCTTGAGGGAAACCGATTGACTGTTCTGTTGGTATTGCACCAAATATCTGAAAGAATAATAATAATAATATAATTTATAGAGTGCTGTTAACAAACAAAATATAGGCTCAAGGCGCTGTGATAGAATTACACACATAAGCACAAGAGCTAAAATGACAAACTAATCTAAAAAAGTTTTAAACAGGAATAAGTTAATACACTTGCACATATAAATTGGAACAATAAAATATATAAATGTCTAGCATTCACTATGTCAGTTGCAGAGTTTTACCTTGAGCATGTCTGTGATGTATTCTGCAATAGTCATAAGAAGCTTTCTGTTGACTTGCCTCTGGCTGCTTCTAGCAGTGGCCATGTAAGTGTTGCCAGCAGACACAAGCTCTCGTATATGTTCCATTGAGCTTCTTGTGTCAACATTGTCTGTACAAAGAAACACAAAGCAACATAGTTTCAAACTTTGCTGAGAGGATTCTCATTTATAACCTGAGACTTGAGTGATGCACTCATCCTTAATCTTCACAATTTAAAACATTGCCATTACTGTGATATAATAGACGTGATTGAAGTATGGATTAATGAAAGGTTTAAATATAAGACCTACAAAATTATTTACTTGTTGCTAAGCCTTGCAGTGAGGTGGAGAGAAGAAGAAAGGTGGTAAAAAAAAATAGGCTAAGAACTAGCTCAATAGCTGGTGAAGAGAAAGAAAGCTAAAAAAATTGAAGAGTGGACAGAATTCATCTCTTCTTCGTTCTCATTGTTATGTTGGAGCATTCAGATGACTAGACCAATACATGAGATGAACTGCACAGTGGTTTCCAAATCAGGGAGCTCTCCATATAGTTTTGTTTCTATTGGGGTGTTTTGGGGGCCAGTGTCTTATATGGGTGGG